GCACTACTTCTATTATCACTACTACAGAATGCCAATTTTCACCGATACTCTGCCGTCTCTAATGTGACGAATAGGGGGGAGTAACGATTTTAATGTTTTAAGCGAAATATCATAAGAACTGTCAGAACCGGAGAACTGTAAATGTATTTGGTGAAGAATGTCCAGACCATGAAGAAACTATTTCGCGAATGTGAAGGAATCGCTATCTCCTTCAAAAAAGATTACCACTGCAAAACTTCAGAGTTTCGGTAGGTACGGAGGGTGACTCACCATCGCATCTCACTTAGATCCCCTGGTGCCAAACCGCCGATCTTTACTTTATGAAACAAATATTTCGTGCATTTCTTTTGACGTTGCAATATCCTGTTGCTGCTTTGTGACAGGCATACTAACAGGTAATGACACATCAATTTACGGACTTGTTCTTTCATTAAACAGATTATTTTATATAAGTGTAAACGGAAAAGCTGGATTCATAGGCAATACCATTCAAACAAAAAATATTCATTCATGAATATTATGAACGGCCTGTTCGCGAGACCACAGTTGCAAGAAGAGTCTCACTATACAAAACTCTAAGTTAAGAAGTTCATAACTACATCACAGCAATGCATTTACATTGAAAGAAGAACAATATTAAGGGATTAGCATCGTCGCTTATTGCAGGAGGCTCGCCCAGCCAGTTAAACTCGCCTCTACGGTAAGATGGCACTTGTTTGAGCACCTGCGTGTACGTCGATGCATGTCACACCACCTCTCGACTAGAGCAACACCTTGCCAGTAGACAATTATGCTCCTTAGAGGTCGCTATAACTCCGTAATCGCAGATCAGCATGTAAACTTGGGCTGCCATCAGTCTGCAAAACAGCCTTACCTATGCATTTCCTACCAATAAATCATAGTTCACAAAATAGAAACCAGAACCAAATTCGCAATCAGGATATAACTATTCATAATAGGTTAATTATCAAGAAAAAACAATTAATTAATTTTACCTGAAATCCTCAGAAATCCCCATGGCCAACTGCTGCTGCACAGCACCAACATGAGACAGAGCAGGGGCGACTGATACCAGTACGTTCCGCGATCAGGACCCAGTATGTACACGGATCTGCACAGATCTAAAACGCGACGTGTCAGAATGTAAACGAGGTGATGACGATTCAAGTTTCGGCTGTGAGAACAGAGAGGCACAATATGGCAGCCGGTACAAAACAAAATACGATTTAAAGACAAAAATAAAAACAAAAAAGCAACAAACAATACAGCGGAATGCTGTAAAAAATGGCACACATGAAAAAAGTATTTTTGTCTGAGAACGGAGACGAACGAGAAAAGAGCGCCAAAGCAAAATGCATGCACCGTAACGATCGACCTACAGGCAACGACCGGTGTACGAACGAAATGAATGAGTTGCTTGGCGCCAAAAACGGACCATGTCCCCGGAGACACCGGTGCTGCGTCTGTGGATCACGACGACGACGACCATTCGGTTCGACTGGCCGACGATGACCATTCGGTCGCTTGCCGGATGACCACCGCTACAGCCGTCCCAGTCGTCATCGTCGTCGTCATGACAGACAGACGGAACAAGTGCAAACAGGACGAACATGAATCGACAGCACGCGTCGTTGCTCAGACAAATTTGTCTATTGGTCGCTGCAGCGGCGAATTAATCGGTCGCCAGTGTCCGGTGCCACGTGTCCGTAAGAAACCGTCCGTTAGTCACACATTACAGCGACGACTAGCGCTTACTCATAAGTAAGGTCAAACGGTGAATAGCGACAACAACGACAGAGTGAATCGTCGCTCGACGACGTCTGCTGCCTGTCAAAAATCAAAGTCGTCACCGACAGTGGTGATGCCTCGTGCAATGGAATGACAACAGTGGGTAAACGAAAGTTCGATGAATGGGCGATGACGAATGAAGAGAAGGCACTAATCGAGTATGACGGAAAAAGACGGCGATCAGCGAATATTACAGAGACAAGAAGAAAGGTCAGCACGGCGAAAGTTAGGACCCAGCAGGACGAGCGAGTGAATAAATGAATGAATCAAACTCTACCTGCGTTCTTCCTATTCATAAATTTCAACCAGCCTTTTTTCGCCTACTTTAAGATACTTTAATTTAGGAAAAAGGCATAAATGACGGCGCTTCGCAAAACTAACTCGAAGGAATCGTCAGATACAAACGAGGCGAATTCGATGTCCCAAATCATCGGTCGCTGTTCGTTAGAAAACTCACCGGCATTCGATGGCAGGACATAAGCTACCGCAGACATGCTAAATAAAACAGTGTTTTATTAAATATACTTGTGCCGACCCCAAAGATAGTTAAAGCATTTAACCACCTTCATACAAGGAGGAGTGCGCATCCGCTTTTTCGAAGGAATCACCAAGCTGCAAAAGTGGTGAGGAACACATCATGAAGTAATGTCATATCTACGACTCTGCAGTGGAACACAGGTAATGATTATGATCAGTTCGGGCATGGAAAGCTACCGGAACTAAATTGATAGCTCTAAGAACAACGGGCCATTCTTGTGTCATTAGAAAGGAGAAGGGGAAGTAATTTTGTGAAAAGACCGAATACGCTATTGTGAAACAAACAGCGAAATTAACCAGTCAATGGATCCACATGTAGTGAGGTGTTTCAATACAGCAGGAAGTAAGACGCCTTCTCTTTGGCCACTACTGGCAAAGGCAGAGATAATTAAAAAATGACAGATCACGGCAGCCAGGTTTGGAACACACTAATAGGATAAATGATCACGAGACAGATCTCCGCATACCGTTAAGGCTAATCTGTCCAGGAAAACTTGTCAGACTGAGGATAATCCAGTCTGAGCTTTTAACACTGGGCCACGCCGTAGGTGGCAGGCGCAATCGCGTCTTGGAATTCTTTCAGCGGAGAGGTTAAGAAAATTTTTCATGCTCTCGCGATCCAAGAGGAACATCAAGTTCTGAAGAAAACAACAGAACACGAAACTTTTCATGACCTTATTTAAGGTTGTAATGGTAAATTGGAAAGTGAAATTAGCATCTACAAGGGTATGTCGAGGAAATTGTGTTAAATCAAGTCGAAAGTTAGATTAACTCCCTAGACGACAATAATTCAACAACTCGACTCTAGTAATAGTTTGGTTTTTTTATAGAAACGCACTGATACTTCGAAAGTAACCTCATTTTCAGCAGCTGACGCAGCAATATCACAACTCCATGGCATAGGTTGGCGTTGTTTCGCTGAGGCCTGCCATTCAATTCAGATCTGTCCGTCGAACCATCACCAGAAAAACAACAAATACAACAGAAAGCGTAAGGAGGCGCATTGCGCCAACAAACTATGGCCTCTGATTGGAGGTTGCGTCAGCACACTATTTCTTTCACGTGTCTCATGCTGTGGCTGTGGACCGTGGGCAAGAAGGCGACGTGACGATGGGATTCTGTTGCACCCATTAACAACGGCAGCAACAGCAATGTGTAACAGAACCTGCACTGCCTATCAACACGGCGACGGTTAAGACGCACGATGAAATCATGCCAATTTACGTTGAGGAGCCGCCTACAAGGTATCTGTATATGGAAAGCATGAAGACAGTTTCCTAGTCCTACCCCGTTACCAAAGAAAAACTTCACACTTCATTCGAAACCGAGAGGAAAGTTTAGGCTTCGTCATCGGACCTGAGTGCGCACAGCGCGAGCCTCACAACATGACACAACGACAGACGTACACTTATAAAGGAATACATTAACACATTCGATACACCTCTATATATTGTCACAACGAATAGTAGAAAAAATCAGTCGATAAATCAAGTTCTCAAAATGTCGTGCGACAGATACCGTCCCCCCATTAAAAGACACCAATGATTAGTCATGAAAAAAGACAAAAAGCCGCTGAGACGCTCAACTCCATCTATGAGAAAGAGGGCATTTGGCTGCTGTTTGCATTCGCCTGCTTACCTATCGCTGATTATTTATGCCGGACACGCGGTTTCACCGAATCATGAAAGAAAAACTATGCCCTCAGTCGAAGCACAGATTTGATGACCAGTCACATCACATGAGCAAAATTGACCTATTAGAGACTTGTGATCGAATAGCTTCTATAATCATCGAAACAACCAT